TAGAATAAATAAGAGTTTCAGTTGTTGAACTGGGAAATCTTGGGTGTCCAGTACATGGAAAGACAGATGATGAATAGAATTCACATGACTGTAGGGTTTAGCACAGAAGTTAGTAGTAAAGTTTTCTGACTAAGTCTGACAGTGGAAAGATTTGGAATTTTGGGTTTTTAGAGTGAAAGGGGGAAATTCTATTAAAACCTCAACAAGATACAGTATTTCACATCCACCAGACTGGCAAAAAATTAACAAGGTTGACAATGTGGGCTCCACACACCCCAGCCAAGACCACCCACCCCTCCCTCAGGACTCCACATCTCCACTGGCAGAGTCAAGAAGCCCTAAAGCTCCACATGCTCAAAATAAACCCACCCTTCCCCCAACCTTCACTTCTCCAACTTAAAGAGTTAAGCAAGCACCAGAGCTCCAAACATTCCTGAATCAAGAGAACTCTAGTGTTCCACATGTTCCCGAGAAGGCTGCCCCTCCCCCGGTCCTCCAAACCACTATGGTCAAGAGTCAAGACGGGGCTCCAAGGCACTGAGTGCTCAGAGTAAGATCACCTATTACCAGCCTGACTCACTCCTCCTTAGCCTTACCACTACCAGAAGAGTAAGGAGGGCCTCCTGAAAGTGCTCCAGGCAAGGTTCTCAAACTACCCCCAGTTCCCACCCTCACAGCTTCACTACCACTATCTGCCAGCAGGCATGAGGACCAGCCAATCTCCTCACACCTGTACCTGCTTATGTCGATCACCACACGAAGCCCAGAGCTTCCTGGTTATACCTCATCCCCTCAGTCTCTACTCTTATGGCTCTGAGAGCAGTGAGACAGTATCCTATGTTGTATTTTCCCCCATAAAACATGCACCATTTTGATATATTATATCAAATATATATATATATATCAGCTATTTGTCTCTACTAAAATCTAAACTCCAAGAGTAGGGCTTTTTGTATTTTTATTTACTGCTGTACATGCTCAACCAACATTTCTTGAATGAATAAATTGTGAGAATACATAGTAACCGGAATCTTTACCTTAACAATAGGAACATGAATTAGTACAGCCACTTTTGGAATTAATTTGGCATTGGCATTATGTAGTTAAGCTTAGGATGTGCATTTTCTATAACTCAGTAATTCCACTCTTAGATAACTAACCTAGAGAAATGTATCCATGTTTATCTAAAAATATGAATAAAAATATTCATGGTCGTACTTTGTAGAACAGCAAAATAACAGCGGTAATGTCCATGAACAACTGAATGGATAAAAAACCAAGGTATTCCCATACATAGACGAAAGTTAAGAATACTGAGCTAAAAATAAAAAAGCAAGTATCAGAGGAACACACACACACACACACACACACTCACTCTCTCTCTCTCACAGTCCCTCTAATATATAGTTTCCATTTACGTAAAGTTTCAATATATTGTTTAGGAATAAATATTGCAATAAAGCTAAAAAGAAAAGGATAAGCATAGGGATAATTATTACCTCTGATGGGAGAAAAAAGGCACTGGGACTGGGGAGAGCATACAGAGTATTTCAAAGATAACTGTAAGCATTTTTTTCTCTGAATAGGTGGAGGCACAAGAATGGTCACTGTCTCATAAATCCTAGTAGTTTACATAATCTCTGATAATTTTTAAAAAAGAGGAGAGTGGAAATAGCAATGGGCTAGAAAAAGAGATTAACAGGCAAAAACAAACTTTCACACTGGACAAGAAGACCAGCAGCGGGGACTCTAATCAGAGGCCAAGTGGGTGACCGATACACTGAGGAAAAGAGGAGTCCTACAGAAAGACACAGATCTTTATTTTTCTCATACTATTGAAAGCAACTATCTCTTCATAGAAGTAAAGTAAAAGAGACTATAATATTGTAAATCTAATATACTTCAATTAAAACAATCCCTATGGAAAGAAAAAAAGGTAAAAGAGGCCTACCTAATGCTAATTAATAGAATTAATTCTTCCTCTAGGCTACCTAATGGAATAGAAAGTTTATCTTGGCATGCATCTGTGTGCTGGACTTTGTTTTTTTCATATGGTGCCTTTGTGCAAATTAGAAAAAGCACCCTCCTTCCAGGCAAGATGAAGCCCAAAGAACCTCTCTTGGCCAGGTATTCAACAGTAATCCTCCATCTGTGAGATAATAATACTTAATAACAATAGCTAACACTTACAAAGTGCCACTACCTGTTCTAATACATGTAATACACTTGACTCATGTAATCCTTACAATAATCCATTTTATAGTGAAAGAAACAGAGAGGTTGAGCAACTTGCCCAAAGGTACACAGGTCTTCATAGAAAAATCAGTATTTGAATTCAGGAAGACTGGTTCCAGAGCCTGTACTCACCTGTACTCTTAACCACTGTAAGACACTGCCTTTCTGAAGCAGTGACAGTTAAGACTTAGAAAGTCCTTTCACATACTATTCGTGAAGCTACAGGATACTCTTCAATTGTGTCTGATATATTAAAATGGGGGTGGGGGAAACCGTCTCTCATAATTTTCTACTTTCAAACAAAAAAAATCCAGGATAGGTTTCAGGGAGTCCTGAATCCTCTGAAATTACATATAAAATTTTTTATGTACACATGCGTATTTTTTTTCTGGAAGGAGAGTACAGGCGACCCTTGACCCAATGTGGGGGGTTAGGGGCACCAAACCCCTAGCAGTCAAAAATCTGCATGTAATTCATGTGGGCCCTGTTTCATACCGTGACCCCTCTGCATGTTGTTCCACATCCTCAGATTCAATCAACCACAAACCGTGTAATACTGTAGAATTTACTGTTGAAAAAAGTCTGTGTGAAAGTAGACCCACGGTTCAAACTGTTGTTCAAGGGCCAACTGTATATACTTTAAGACTCCTAAAGGAGTCTGAAATGGTTCAGAACCATCAGGCATGAATGGTTCCTAATCACTGTACTATTAAAGGCAATTTTTATTCCTAGCGCCCCCCTCCCCAGAGCTCAGAAGCACGCCTAAATAACCAGCATTCTTGTAATAACTTGTTTTCTCACTTTATTAATTAGACATGTAGATCTGCCAATCAGAACTTCTAATAAAACAAGAAGATAACTAGCATTACTAAGCCTGGTTTGGAAATTTTCAATATTTTAAGTTACAGATAATATTGAAAATGCCTATAACATAAAGTTAGAAAGATTTAGATATTCTAGATGTTTCCTTTCTCAACTCCATTAGCTTAAGTCAAAACCAGTTGATGTGAGGTAAATGCATGGTTGCTGTCAGGCTTGTAGAAACGCTGAAAACACTTTGAGAACCACCATTACTCTACTGTTTACTGTTTACATTATTAAGGAAACCACCATTCGCAGTACTAGGCCCAATGCCAAGTGCTGTAAATACAGAGGAAAAATCGTACAGGACTTCTAGGTGTCCAGCGAATTCAAAGTGGAACCAATGATTTAGGTAAAAGTTAAGGGCTTTTAGATGAATATAAAGACAGCCTGGAGAAAACAGAGGAAATTCATGAAGGCCCACAGAAGCAGCTGGAATGTCTTTACTTTCAAGCAAACCTTCTAGCCAACAACAGTGGGCAAAAACCAAAGTTTAAAAGGCTTCTCTAACACATAAACGCTATACAGTTGTCCTTCAGTATCAGTGAAGGGTTGGTTCCAAGACCACCCATGGATTAAAAAATTCAAAGATGCTCAAAAGTCCCTTACATAAAGGGCACAGTATCTGCATACAACCTATGCACACCCTGCTGTATACTTTAAATCATCTCTAGAGTACTTATAATACCTGACAATGT